AATGCTTGAGACACGAGGAGGTCTCAGATCACACACCGACAGAGCCAGCTTCAACAGTGAGAAAGTCATCTTAAAGTCAGACTGCTCAGCTTTCCAAATTGTGAAATAATGGCCTGAATTTAAATTTTCCAAGATAAATTCAGTGGTTTTGTTTTTTACTGTTAATAGAGGTAGACCTATTCTGTGTTGTGTTAGAATTTACCTGTAAGTTATTTTAGTATCAAGTACACCAATGTTACTGTATATTTTACGTATGATAGGATTACAACTGCACACAATTCTAATCTAATTCTAGTAAAAACACACTAGAGCCTTAAAAATACTGATAACATTTACAATATTGTAATACTATAAACAATAGTATTGTGGGCTCTAGAGCGCAGGCTCTAGATTGCTCTTTAAAGCAGACAACATAGCAGATGTTTTTCATGCCTATCAAATTCAAAATGCTAATCCACGAGTCCAGGGGGTTGACCCACCTTGTCCAAGGTCACTCACCACCCAAAAGTCCCTTCCTATTGAGACAGAAAAAGATAAAAATAGACTACATAGTAGCCCAATGAATGTGAAAAGCCTTGTTTTCATCAACAGAAAGGGGGGGGGGGGAATGAATCAACACAGGCTCCTCTTCACACTGACCAGTCAGTCATAATTAATGTACAGATCACAGAGGCAGGTAACTCATACATGCTTAGCAGCAAATGGAAAAATCAAAGCAGAATAAGTTAAAAAAGGGATACAGCAGGGGCTTCCCCGGTGGCGCAGTGGTTGAGAGTCCGCCTGCCGATGCAGGGGACGCGGGTTCGTGCCCCGGTCCGGGAAGATCCCACATGCCGTGGAGCGGCTGGGCCCGTGAGCCATGGCCACTGAGCCTGCGCGTCCGGAGCCTGTGCTCCGCAGCGGGAGAGGCCACAACAGTGAGAGGCCCGCGTACAGCAAAAAAAAAAAAAGGGATACAGCAAAGAGAAGGCACCTCTTAAATCAGCCTTTTCAAACTGCTTCGGGGCACCCTGGAGGGTCCTGTGAAATACCGCACTCAAGCTTGCCAGTATTTCTGATGCAGGAGTGGCCCCGCCGAGGGCATCCACAGCTTCTCCCGTGCCTCCCGGGAGTTCAGATCGCTGTCCAGAGATGTTGAGATGACGTGAAGCATGTGCCTCAGGCTGGCCATTGTGCTAGATGCCTTACCTGCCTTGTCTCCTTTAATCCCCCCCCAAAATCCTGGGAGGTAGGCAGGATCTTCCCCATTTTACAGGTAAGAGCACTGAGTCCCAGAGAAGTTAAGCTAAAGGTATGAAGTTTACGCTAATTTGAATCCTGGCCAATTCAGGAAATTTGTAAGATCTTAGTTAAGAGTGGAAAGGTTGGCCCAGAGATGGGAAATTGGAAATGATGAGGCCAAGCTTTGAAGAGAGAAAGGAGTAGAGAAGCAACGTTTGTTGAGGCACAGGGCAAGGCATCTTTCTCCTGTGTCTCATTCAGTCTGTGTGACTACTCTGCAGCACAAGGATTGTTAGTCCTACATTCAAGATGAGGAAACTGAAACTCAGAGGGATTGATGGACCTGCCCGAGGTCGCTGGCTAGTAGCAGAGCCCAGATTCCAAGCCAGGTGTGCCTGGCTCCATAGCCCACAGCTGCCTCTGCACCTGGTCACGGTGCCTAGTGTGATGGGACTAGCCTGTCCTGGGACTCACTGCACCTGAGATATGGCCCCAACTTTTCCAGTGACTTGCTGTGTGACCTTGGGCCTGTCGCTCCCCTCTCTGGGTCTCAGTTTCCTCTTCCATAAAATGTGGAGGTGGGTGGGGTGATCTCCAATGCCCCCCTGACAGTATGCCTCTGAGTCTGTGACAATCTAAAAGCAAAACACAGAACAAGACTGATCCATTGCTAACTCCTCCTGCCCTAGGCAGCCCACGAGAGAGGGCAGCAAAATCCCCGCTGCCTTGTCTGTGTCCCAGTGTCACCCTGACCCCTCCCACTACCCTTGCTCTCTGAGCTTTCCACCCTGCACAGTCAGAGATCTGCCCTCATCCTTGCTACCTCCCTCTCCCTCTCCCCATACCCCACATCTACTCCAAACTAAATCCAGTCCCCTCTCTCTCATTAGCTCCTCCTAGAATGGCCCCCATGGTCTCCACCCCCAGGACATGTGCTTGATCCCTCCCCATCTCTCCCACAGGCCATGCAGAGCCCTATACTGGTCCCCTGGCCCCAGTTTCTTCCATGAGAGTGGCCAGGATCTTTGTTGAATCAGATCTTTTACATGCCCCCAATCCTGCAATGGCTCCCAAAAAGCCTATAGGATAAATTCTTTAGCGTGACATTTGACATTCACAACCCTTCAAGGTATGGCCCTAATCAGCCTTAATCAATTAATTTCCTTCCACCATCCCGCACCTCCTCACCCCCACCTACACGTCAGTCACGGGTTCTGCTTCTGCACCTCACTGCCTGTATATATGCTATTTATTCTCCCAGTTAGTATTGCCAGCCCTCCTCTCCTCTCCACTCCCCACCTGATTCAAATGCCTTCCTCCCAAACACCCCAGAGAGGCCACAATCCTTCCTTTCCCTCTGTTTCCAAGAATCTTTTTACAGCCGTGATTTATTTGATTCCATACCTCCAGTGCCTGGCACCGAGCCTGACATATGGAAAGGATGTAGATTCATGTTTGATGGATGAATGGAAGTTTGACATCTCATTCCTTCGTGGGCCAGGGATTTGCTTTTGTCTAGCCTATCAGGTTACCCAAGAAAGCTCTGTCCATCACCCAAAGCACTGCTGCCCACATAAGCAAGGGCTCCCAACGTCCCCTTCGCCCACGCCCAGGAGTCCTGCCAGCTGGGTACCCAGATGCTCTCTCTCTATCCCTCTCTCTCATTGCCCCCCTCCCCTGGTCAGTGCAGGCACGGAGCCTCTCCCTCCTCTACTTTGTCCACCCTGAACCCTAGGGTCCACAGTCCAGGGGCAGGTTAGAGAGGGACAAGATGAAAGACGTGTAGCAGAAGCACGTGAGAAGTTGCCATAACTAGTTCCTTGAGACACACACATCCATTTTTTTTAAGAAACACATACAACCCATAAGATCGAAATAAGTGATGATTCATCAAAAAATGAAAGCCCGTACAGCACATAAAATGACAAGGCGGCTTCCCTGGTGGCGCAGTGGTCGGGAGTCCGCCTGCCGATGCAGGGGACGCGGG